GCGACAGCAATAGTGATGAAGATGGATATCAAGTCACATCGCAGACTAAATATTCCTGATTTATACCACAAAACAACTGCAAAAAGGCACAGATGTTTAAACGCCTTTCTATTCATGACAGAAGAAGGAAACAAAAGTAAACATACATATAGTACGAAGTAGAACTGAGCCTCTGGGGCGTCAGAATCCGCGCACATTATGGATGTTTCATGCCAATAAAATCATAATTTTTTTTAAAATCTCGGCCATATTGTTGATAATATCAATTCCCCATTACACCATCATTTGATCATCAAGACATAAATTTATCACACAAAATCACAGCAAGCGGGGAAAAATTCAAGATCGCCTGCAGGCACGAAACGGACGTCACGAATTGATGACCTTCCCTGCTTTAGAGGTTCATCAGTCACTCGGTGCGCATTTTAGTGGTCCCTATACCACTCATTGGTCGGTCATTATCACCGAGCGAATGAGCGGATCGACACGCCGCAACAGCACTTCTCCAACGACTGCCGAGATGAGTGCAAAACGTTTTCCTCTTCGTGACTCTGGCTGTTAAAAACGGACGGTGTCGGCACCACCGCACCGGTCGCCCATGGTCATGCCCGAGGTGCAGAGTGGTCGTCCAGCGGTGCAGAGAAAGTCGATCGGTCCGGCCACCGATTGGCGCCGATCGTCCAACAACGAAGAGCATGCCATTATGAGAGATGTCGTGATTAGAAACGCGACAAAGGCGCTGCCGAGATCGGGCGACGACCGCGAGAAAACGGCGCCCCACGGCCCCGCTGCGAGAAACCGGTGACCGCCTCCCCACTCTCTACGCGAATATTAGGTACTGGTAGAAAAGATGCCTGCAGTGATCACGCCCAGCTTCTGTGTTCCTCGTCATAAAAATAAACGGCGAAGCTTTATGCTGTTATGAGAGAATCCTGAAATATGAAATAAAACCAGCCGATCCAGTAGGTACATACCTATAGCATTGCCTACCTATACCTTAAAGCTGGCTTAGAACAGAATGAAAGGAAAAGTTTATTTGAATCAGAACAATACAAATAAACGTGATATCTCTGCAACCCGTCTAATTTATTTTTATTTCCTGTTTTAGTGTACGACAGCCAACATTTTAATATCAGCGATTTTGCCCTTGACGCCCTTACTCGACACGTGCATTTCGCGATCACTAGAGCCACACACTTCCCCATGAATTCAGTTCCGTTTAGCGTCATCATACATCGCTCACTTCACGTTCGACTGACAAACCGTGTCGACGGTACGGAACCAGACGCAACCTAGCCCCTTCCTGCTCTGCCCCCCCCCCCCCCCCCCGGCAAAGGACCGGACCAAAGGTCAGGGGGCAGTCGTTTTAGGTGCAATGTGTGGCCTAGTGTGAGCGGTTGCGCTAAATGGTTCCGCAGTCAGAACTTGTTCGTTTCAGTCACGGCGCATGATGATGTTCTGATTCCAAGGCCGAGGCGGCTCTTTACGGTCGCGGTGTGCAATACGTAATTGGAGCGTGCAAAAAACCAGGAGCCTAGGTTCCTAGTCGGCCAGACGACCGGCTATGATTCCGGTATGTATAAAATCTGATGGCCAATAGTTGCAAACCAAAATGACAATTAAAATCTAAATATTTTTGTTATCATTTCTATTATCTGACTTTAATTATCATTTTGGTTTGCAACTATTACCCATCAGATTTTATAAATATGTCTAACAATACCGAACAATTCCGGTATGTGTTATGACACTACTCGGATGTATTTTAATTTGATACATTATTAACTGGATACGGCACACATATAATATATCTACCTATAGTGGAGGAGCGCGAGCCGCGAGGCATAGGATATTCGGTTATTGCAATCACCAGAGTTTTGCAGCAAAAAGTCGCATACAAAACTGCTTAGTCAGTTACGTACCTACCTATGCAAATATTTAGGTAAGAATTGTGGTAGTTGACTCTTCTTCAAGTGAGGTCGAAAGCGAAACGGAGTGTTAATTAGAAAGAACCGTAATTATGCTGGTGTTTTCATAGCATGCATGTGCAATGATATCGCCATAAATCAAATTAACTTTCTCTCGGAGCTATCTGCACGCAATCAATGAAACCCGTGAAGACCCGCACGATAGGGTTCATGACGGGTGCGTCTACTCCCTAATGACCGTTTCCACTGAAAGCGGTGACGCCGAGGCTCACATGCCGCCCTCCCTCGCTGCACTCCCTCTCCTCTGCAGTCTGCTAGCGGCCATTACAGCGAGCCTCTACTGCAGGCACACGGGGTGACCGGCCGGCCCACTTGCTCGGCAGACAGAGCGTCTGGGGCGCCCCGTGATGGGTGGGACCCGGGCCGGGGCAGGGGAGGCGAGGGCCGGTGACCCGACTCGACGCGTGTGAAGTGTAATAATGCCGCCGTGTGAAGTGTGACAGGCAGCGGATGGCCAGCATGCATCAGCCTACAGTGACTCATACTGGCGTGTGAGAACGGTGGGGCAATTTAGAAATGGTCGGTGCTTGATAATGAGAAATAAGAAGTTACTAGAAGCAATAATACAGACGTAGACACTAGACAAGGACCGTGGTGCCAGAGACAGTAAACACACTTGAAGTGGTTAGATGAACGCCGACGACAAACTACGGTTTACAGCAAAAATAGAGCATAAAACATACACCTACGTTTTATGATTTTATAGTCGCACTTTTCGACATCCGAGAAGGATGTGACCTGCGGACGCGGCCTAAACGTACCCCTATTTGTCTAGCTATACCTAAACATATATAGGATGCAGTGGTCACCGTCACTGACCCTATAGGGGACTCGGATATGATTATAGCGCTGGAGACTGGGTCACTCGGCCCTGGGAGCGCGGTCAGCAGTGACCCTAGTGACCCAGAGGGTGACTACTGAGCTGTTCCCGGTATATCCACTGGGTTGCGGCGGCCGGCAACGAAAGTGGACAAGGCTTCACCCTACGGTTATAAAAAAGTAGCAACTATGCCAATACGGTACGGAACTAAAATGTTAACCACCATATGCACAGCGACAACAACCACCGTTTGAAGCATTTACGAAGTCGGAAGAAAGGTGGACGTAAAACACCCCTTCTCCAGCAGCGCTCCCAGGCCTGGGAGCTCGCCCTGGCCAGAGCGTAGATCCAACTCAGCCCTCCCCGCAGTGCAGCGTAGTTACAAACGCCACCGGAAGTTCCGCACGATCATGCGAGGTCAACCACGGAAAGAACGCCGCGTTAGCCGCGCCAGAAATGTCTCAGTAGTGCCAATATCGCCGCGAATGTGGGAACCACCGCGTCCGTGGGTAGGTATCCGAGGGGCTAATGCCCGCGCCGCGCAGCCTCTGGCGGTCGTCTCTGGGAGACGGGCTGGAGGCCCAAACCAGTGGCGTTTCGGGGGCGCCATTCGCGCTGTAGCGTTCACGGTCCCGGAAGGGGTTCGACAGTTCCTGGTTCATGCTGCAGTGAGTAGCTCTGACTGACTGCGGAGCCGTCACGGTGGTGGGGCTAAGTGAGCTACCGCCTACCGCAGCGCAGAAGTGGGAGGGTTTGGTGGTTTACATCGCTAATCGACTGGTGGTTTGCACAGACGGCCTGGTTAGGCTGTCAGACTGCCTTGATGACGGCTGAGATGAATGGCGCTTGCGGTGTCGTTCATTTCCTCGTCGATCCGACCGTCTCAGCAAGCGTGACACATTCCAGAGTGGCAATTTGCGCGGCAGCCTGACCTTCCGGCTGACCTTAGCGGGCCGGCCGGATATACAGCGCCCACCCGACTGACCCCGTGACCTCGCGGGCTCACCGCGTCACCTCGGAAGCAGGGGTCAAGAAATGACACACCGCGCACACCCGGGTTAGGCCGCAAATTGGCCTCCAACCAGCCCTCGGCACTAACAACCAAAGCGGACGCCGGACAGCTCCATTCCCAGTCAATATCCCGTATCACGGTGCGGCGGCTGAAGTTCCTGTCGCAGAGCTCGGCCTCTGCCCCGCGCTGACCTACCCGGCCCAGGTCACCGGCGTAAGGTGCCAGTCACGAGACATCAGACCCACCCGGGATGTGTGACGGCGGTGTCATATTTAGGCCGGAAGAAGCCGGGTCACAAAGGCGTGTTGTAACGAGCAGGTGATAATGGGACATGAGTGGAGAATTAGCACAAGCACGGCCCTGGTACTAGGCGGCACGAATCAGGTTACATGACTATCAACGTATGCATGATTCACGAATGTAAGCGAGACTCTATGTTCCAGACACGTCAGGATTTTATTGATAACCTACTTTTGTATTTCGGTTTCTGGAGCAGATGCCAATCGTTACCATTGACAATCAAGGTATTATTTTTCTGTAGAGAACGAAAACAGAGCAAAGGAAATAAGGCCTTCAGCGTTCCTCACCAGCTATAAATCAAATTTTGAAAATACGTCCTGCTATTTTTTGGAGCCCGACAATACCAATGAGCCGACGGCTGCCGTCACATCATCTATTTTATCTGCCCGAGGGGGATGGGGGGTGGGGCGCCCGGACTACAGTGCCCAATGCCCATGGCATGACACAAATTAGCGGAAAATAACGGCTGCATAGTTTTTTTTTTGCCCCGTAATCCACGCTCAGCGTCGCTTCTTGGGTAGTCCCGCTCATCATGGCGGATCGCGTTGGCAGGTGCGACTGAGGCTAAAATATTTTTCCTTCAAATGAGGCTTAACCATTTTTTCTTCAAAAACCTAATTCCATTTATACATGCTACCATACATGCAGATAAATTTCGAAAACTATACGCTTTTTAAGCCTGTGCTCTTAAGCTCAAGAAATACTTTCCCTGCGCTCTCTCACACCATTGGATACTTTACGGTGACCATAAATAGGATACTCTGTACACCAGCCACCAACACAGCTCAGACTCATACGCATCGCAGCCTATTGCACGCAGCCTGTTAAGTGTAGGGCCCAGTAGGGCCTGTCCCGGGACTCTCTGAACTGAAACTCTGCGTTCAAGTTGTACTTGCAGTTTGTATTATCTCCCACAATGGCTATGGGACATCAATAATCTAGCGTGTCGTACACCTATCATGAGGTCTGCTACACGCCTCCAGCTACACGTAGCAGCATGACGTCAAAATGCACACAGGCGTGCGCGCAGGAAATCCTAACAATGAAGCGGACGTGCGACTAAAAAACGGGTCTGTTCAGCGCTCATCGTCTAACTATGTGAGCACAACCGAGAACAGCAAAATTTTTGGAGGTGCCATACATAAAGACATGACGACTCACTGTCCGCGCAACTAAAACAGTCATACCAAACACACACGAGTGCCAATAAAAACACTTGCCGCACATTTACGCCAATCCACACACTCAACCCCAATCGCACAGACATCCCACGTTGCCCAACGCACCTTCATGACTGATACCTCTTGCACAGTCGCTCACATATCTTCCGTACTCCACTTGTAGGCGTCGATGTCTCGGGCTTTCTTGGCGTTTCGTCGCAGGAACAGCTGTTTTTCGAAGCCGTTCGAGCGATCGACTCCATCCCACCGGTAGCCGGGCCAGATGGAGTACCGGTTCGGGGGTGGCTCCGATTTGTTGTACCGGGGCCGCTCTGAAAAGGGGAGAGGAGCGGCAGTCAGACGAGATCGATCAGTATAGAAGCCAAGGCACCAAAGCAAGAAACGCACAGCTGTGAGTAAATGACAGCCGCGTGACTGGGACAGAACATCGGGATCCAGGGTGGCACACCAATCCACCTACCAACAGCCACGAGAAGCACCAGCCTTTTGAGATGGCAGCACTGGATCATCGGTGAGTCAGAGCAAGGAATATGCATTGCTATATACACGAACAATTTCATGATATATGTAGCTGTAAATGAACAATACTATCATCAATTGCTATTCGGCAAAGCTAATTTTTAAAGTATTCCTTTGACGCAAAATTGGAACAAATTTCAGGTAGACTGGGGCTATCAATGACCGGCGACCGTTCCACTCCTTTCGTCACCCCAGTGCGCGGTAACCACCTTTGAGCGGCCCATCCTGTTTGGCCTTCTTCCGCTGCATGTACTCCGCCATAGGGTCATCCTGACGCTGTCGGCGGCGCAGCTCAGCCTCTAGGTCGGCGTCGTCGGCGTACCGGGCCAGAGGCTTACTGGCCTCGTGCAGGTGATCCTGGAGACGGGCGCGCTGGTTCTCCGCCTGTTTCAGACTGGCAAGAGAGATATCGTGGCGAGGAGGGGACGGGAGGTCAGCAAGGACCAGTAGGTGGGAATGTAAAGACTGGCTGGCATAAAACATACGAACATAATGGCATTTTTAAAAGTTGGAATTCCTATTAAAGGGACCCTCCCACCTTAACATTAAATTTAAGTTGAGATAGCCAAAATGGGGTCCCTGGCTCACAATTACCGGTTTCGGCACCCACAACATCGAGAAATGCCTTAAAGGGACTATCCCACCTTTAACATGGGGTTTGAGTTGAGATAGCCAAGTTTGCGGCGAGGTTCAGAAACCACTATCTATCTAGGTTGCAACCCCCGCGGCCTCTTGGTGTTGAAGAAATTCGTTCCCTTCATTTGAAAATGGGCTTTGTGCAAGGCCCTATCTTCAACATGGAGCGACCGTTAGTGTGACGTCACCTCGTTTAGTCATTATGATTTAAATGGGTTTGTTCGTTGAAAAATCACTTAAAACTTGGTCTGAACTTTGTTGTGGTGCCTACAGAGTAAAAAGAATCAGCTTTGTGGCAGTAATGTGGCCTGGGGAAGGAGGTAATTTTGGGCTGTGACGTCACATATTTGAAAGTTTGTGTTTGGAATATGGGAAGCCTAAGATGTTTAATGAAAAATAAATGCCAGAACCGTGTTCCTGGTCATCCAATCTATAAAGTCGGGCACAATTTAACTGGTTTTAACAACATTTTAGATTTTAGAAGGTGGGAGTGTCCCTTTAAATCGGAAATATTGAATTTCAAAATTGCAGCATTTTGATTCAGAGGGGCTAATTCTTAGGAATACCCCTCTGAATGTGTGACGTCAGCGCAGATATCTAACGATTTTTAAATGTTTGACTAAAAGGTTTTGTAGCACGCGGTGGTATATGCTGCTTTGCGCGTGTGCCGCGCTTTGCGCAACAAGTGTCGCACTTTCAGCTGCCAAACTATTGCTTCCAAATAAAGTCGCTAGGAACAGCGGAGATCCCAAAAAGTAAACAAAAGTAAAAGTCTAATATCTTGAAAACCGGTGAATATTTTTCGGTGGAATTTGGTAGATATTCGTTTTCGCTCTTTCTGAACCGAGCGACATCACTTTCATGCCAATTCATAAACTTTTTTGAAGGTGGGAGGGTCCCTTTAACCTTGAGGCATGTTACGTTAACACTGGATTTGTTAAAACACCAAGTCGTATCGTTAGCTGACGCTCACCCTTTGCTCCAAGCATCGTATTTCTTCTTCCTTTCTTTGGCTTTCTGCTCTTCTTCAGCTTTCTTGGCAGCCTTCTCTTTGTTTTCTTGCAGCTTTCGTCCTCGGATTTTTGTGTCCGCATGGCGACCAGATACGTGCTCGTCCATCTGAAATGATGAATCGCTGTTAGATAATCGGCAGCGAAATAATCGATGGCGTCTCTAACTTAACTAACTTTCGCATGGAAGAAAGCGGTGAGCATTCTGTTCACAATACATAAGAACAGTGCTAAGAAATCAGCATGCCATCTTCTAATTAAGGCACAACACATTAGCAGTTGGACCAATGATTGAGCTACCGAGCAACTAACAAATGTCTCACCTCAGCCATTGCCTTCTGCTCTCGTCGTCGGGCCGCTCTATTCTCCTCCTTGAGCGCATTGATATCCTGCAGACCGGCCCGTTTCCCGTCCTGGGTATGGGTCGGCGGCCCACCCGGTCTCGGCGACTCGCCAGTCTGCGGCCGTCGCCATGATCGGGGTGGGCTCGCCGAGTCCGCACTGCCAGCACGCGGCCTCCGGCGTGGCGGGCTCTCATCAGAGTCTGCCTGCCCGCGACCACGGCGTCCAGACGGACTCTCCTCCCGTTTGCGGCGTTTTTCGTCAGAGGCGGGCTTGCGGCGGCGCGGTGGGCTGGCGTCTGAGTCAGCACCATCCATGTCCGCGGCCGGCCGGCGTCGCGGGGGACTCGGGTCGGAGCCGGCGCGTCGGCGCCGTCGTTTCTCTGGAGGTGATGTGTCCGGGGAGGCACCGCCAGCCGGTCGTCGACGGGGAGGGCTCTCGTCCGAGTCATGTCTGCCCCGGCCGCGCCTCCGACCCGAGTCGGAGTCAGAGCTGCTTTCGCTCCCCGAGCTGGCGCCTCCACCACCGGAGTCATCCTCTGAGCTCTCCGAGTCGTGTCTCTGTCGGGCGGCCGGTTTGGCGGCCGACGGCAGCGGCTGACCGATCCTCGGCGGAGCCTCGTCCCCCGAGGACACATCCCGTGCCGGATCATCCTCCTGCAACATCTTCAGACTCTCATTGAGGATCTCGCGCTGCGACTCGAGCTCCTCCAGGTCACAGTCCTCCAGCGTCTTCCAGCGTTTGTCGGCGCTGGCCGGCGGGGCGTCAGAGGTGACGGACACCACCTGGGGCGCCTCTTCGGCCGTCTCCAGCCGCCCGTCGTCATCGTCACCCGCCGCCGCCGGCACCGTCACGTCATCGTCGATAATCCGAGTCCTGTCAGACAGGGGGACAGTGGCAGTGAAACAATATTAGCATTACCAGCATATAGCATAGCACTGGTAACTTGACAATAATTTCAGTTTTTCTTCGTTATGTTTGTTGAAATTAGTGCTCTTAATTTCATTTAAAAGAGTCGCATTACCTATCTGCTACTAGATGAAGAAAGGATTGTGGATAAAATTATCATGAAAGTAAGTAAGTGATAACTTAATAAAAAAAAAACTATGAACAATATCAAAATTATCAGTATATAGCCAACAAACTGTTGACATGCATGCTTATTATTTGACAAAAGAATACAGTATGTAACTTACCCTTTACCCTTAGAAACCTTTAATTTCTTCTTTTTCTTCCCACCAGATCCCAAATACTTCTTCAAATATTCTTTTTGGTCAGTGGATGACATCTTTACTTAGCAGGAAACAACTTGATGTAGATACTGATACCATATATAAAAATGGTTCATCTGAAAACAAGATGCATCAACAAAAGCTTTCAAATTTACCGGTCCCCCACCATGGTCAACCATAGACCTCTGTACACCATGAGGTCTATGGGTCTAGGTGTACAGAGGTCTATGGGTCAACCTAATTGTAATACAATTGTTATGCATGCATGATGACAAGTTCAGGTGTTGCAGGGTGCAGGTGTAGGGGGGGGGAGGGGGGAGGAAGGAGCATTGCTAAAATCCCTAAAATGGTTATTCAAACTTATCCATGCCCAAGAAAATTAATCAAAATTCAGTTTTCACTCAATCATTTCAACTTTTAATGCAGATTTAAACAATTAAAAACATATTGTCAATATATATTTCTACATGACAAACGCAGCAAACTCATCCATAGCGAAGCTGAATGGGCATGGTGGGCATATAATTGGTATAGGAATATATTGATATTTATGGTGGGTAGGCATATTAAAATGCTTTAAGTACGTGATACTAAGACAAAATATTGGCTAACCGACCGAAATTTATTCATTTAATTTGTGTTGCAACCAACACTTCAAATTGAGCATATTGTGCAATTGAAAAGCTTCACTGTCTCAAGCTTGAGCTTCTCAAATCTCAAAATGCTGATCCACAAACAGCACCGAGGCCCGAGCACACACAACATTGGCTTTCGTAACGTTATCTATACACCATTTTAAAGAGGGTTACATGCTTGACAATTTTCTATATAAATACCTAACGAATCGCAAACAATTGATAGAAAATAATGCTTTTAATAACCACCCACCTGCCAAATTCCACGCGTCGCTTCTGTCACAGCAGCGCAAGAGTTTCAAGGAAAGTGAAAAACATGTCATCATCAAATCAAAATGCTGACGTATATTGATAAAAAGTTTCGGAATAAAGTGAAATATCCTCGTATTTGCTGATAGCAACAAACAAATAGAAATAAATTGTTCAGAAATATTGCAAATAATTTGTATTAAAAGATCTCATGTCCAAGATTCTGATATTTCAAAAATAATACGTCCCATAAATTCACTTTGATTGTGTTACATTTCAGTGTCCTTGAGCATTCGTTTCAAAACATTCTGCCTTTTGTGTGTGTGGGTCACGTGTATTTTTGCCTTGTTGTGATTAAATAAGTCAGATTTATGAGCTGAAGAAAATGATTTTGAAAACTGTAAAATTTCGTGTCCACACTCATCTGAAAAACAACAGCTGTTTGTCCTCTCTACTGCCATCGATCCGGGAGAAGAGCACTCGTCCGCCAAAACAAGACACAAAATCTAATGCAGAAAATCATGCTGCAAACAAGTCATGGTCGTCAACTGTCAATGTCCCACAAACAAAGTTTTGGCTTAGGCCAAAAGATCGAGAACGCATTGAAATGGAACACATGCTGCAAAGGGTATGTATGGTCTGATGGATTGTTTCTAAATTTGATATCAATGCTGAGACTTCTTCTTATTTTATCACATTTTGATGCTTGAATATGTTATGTCAATTATTATTGCCTGCCTTGTACTGTTATTTTTAGACTTTTGCTTTCCATTTGCTGACATACACCTACCTTTTACAGAGCCGAGGTTTCAAGGAGCTATACCAGTGGCAGCGGCAGCAATCCTGGGCGCAGGAGTTTATCCTGCAGGATGGACCACCATATGCCAACGGGAAGGCGCATATTGGCCATGCAGTCAACAAGGTATGTGGCTAACCATGTTACTGACTTGCATCCTCCCCAGAGTGCAGAAGTATACCTAGCAGGTCAAGCCGTGCAGCCAGGCTGTAATTTTGCTTCACCCTATACCTAAACTAAGGCCTAGAAGCTACACGGTATTCAAGCAATATTGCTTTTTGAGAGATATGAAAATGGATAAAAAAGACCAATTGCTACCTGTCATTGCAAACATTTTTTTTAAGGACTCTGGATCACCTTTTGGTCTCACCTGGGATGAGACACTATCAATCCTATTGAATCTGCACCCCAAGTTCCAAACTTCAATTGGCCATGGCCCCGCTAACAGGAGTTCCTTCGGCGCTAAGGACTGTGCAGTGTGCAGGGCACGGAGAATCGTAGCTGCCTCATCGCGATAGTCGTGGTGGAACGAGAGGTAACCCTGTCTTGCGGTGGGTCTTCTCACACTATGGGGTCTCGAGAAACGAGAAACGATACGGTAGACTCGCTGTCGGTCGCGGCGGTGGCGCTGGAGCAGACCGCCTTTGCGGTAGATGTCGCCACCATGCACGAAGCTGCGGTTCGCCTCGCTAGGAACACGCAGCCAGGGACAGACTCATTTACTCAAATTTGACACTTGTAGCGGCAACCGCATGGCACGGGGAGCTAATGGGCCTACGGTTCCCGCCGACGATCGATAACATATCGGCCATCCGCGGCGGATCATTTCACTAGATGCGGGGTGGTCGCTGAAATGGTCCGAGGCAGTTCTTCGACAAAATCGGCTGAAGCATGAAGCCTGGTAGTTGACCACGAACAATTCCGGGACTTTTATCGTCCTATTTTCCCATCGTGGGTGTTGAAAATAATAACATACGTGCGTACGTGTACGAGTCATGCGCCAAACTTTCGTTTAAGTGTAGGCTTTTTATTTTACTTATCTTGGGACGAAGACCGTGACACCTAACAGCTGACTGTAGCGTATGTTCATTCCATATTACAGATCTTGAAGGACATCATCTTGCGGTACAAGGTGCAGCGTCGGGTGCGTGTGCGCTATCGGCCCGGCTGGGACTGTCACGGTCTCCCCATTGAGCTGAAGGCTCTGGGCCACACCACAGAGGATCACACCAAGCTGGACCCACTCGCAATCAGAGAGACAGGTGAGTCTTATCATCAGATGATCAGCTCATCTGACCATGTGATGTTTGATGATGTGACACCCACTAGAGGCGTTGCTGGTAGTGTGCAGTATTTAGTTTGGTTCATCTCTAGTTCTCTCATTCTTCTTCTAGCTAAATTGCACATGTCAAATCACCGCTCGATCAGTGACTAAGTTCCTGTGTTCTCCCAGCTCACACTCTCGCTCATTTTTTTTCCGACAGCGTCCCGGTTCGCCTCTGAGGCGGTGTCGCTGCAGCGGACGGCGTTCGAGCGCTGGGGTCTGCTCGCCGACTGGAGCCAGTGCTACCTGACATCTACACCGCAGTATGTGAGCCGACAGCTGCGTCTGTTCCAGCGCCTGTACAGCCGCGGGCTGGTGTACAGGGGATTGAAGCCCGTCCACTGGTCGCCCTCATCCAGGTGAGATGGGGACGGTCAGACCAACGTTTTCCGGAAGGTTTGACTGGCTAGTAAAGGAAATGGGGCCCGTGTCATAGCTAGTTGTCCGTATCTTGTGTTTCTATTTGCACCATTGCATTCACCCTCCTTCGCTCCCCGGAGTTTTCAGGCTGTGACTTTCTCGACAATCGTATCTTTCCTTCTGACAGTTTCAACGTCTGCCTATCTTTTTATTTGTTTTTTTTTTTCAGTTTTTCACCTATCTCTGTCCTGCTCAGAGGTTGTCAGTTCTTCCTTTCTGTTCGTCTAATTGTCTGCCCCTCCAAGCCTCCGTCGTTCTTCTGGCTGCCCGTCTGTCCATCTAACTGTCCGCCCGTTTCCTATCCGCTCATCCGTTTCTTCCTTCCGCCCGTCCGTCTAACCGTCTATTCCCCTCAACAGGACGGCGCTGGCCGAGGCAGAGCTCGAGTACAACACCCAGCACGTGAGCCGGTCAACCCACGTCCGTCTGCGTCTGGAGCGACATACTCTGGATACTGCTGAGCCAGCCTACCTGCTGGTTTGGACCACCACCCCGTGGACACTGCCGGCCAACCAGGTACGTGATAGGCGCTGTGTGATTGCGATCGGTGGCTTTTAGAGCTCTATACTCCGTGACACGTTGTTGCAATCGGTGTGGTTGATAGCTCGTAAGCGCCCGCTGTGGTATGGTAAATGCGGTGTACCCATGCGGGTAGGCGGGCTGCGGGCGACTTATATCCATCGCGCTGCACCGGACATTGCCGGACACCGGACATGCCCACTGCGTAGATATTCTCTGCTCTACCTTTCTGCCATACGCTACCTCTCCGTCCTCTTCTTTTATTGACTATGCCCAGCTGTATTTATGAGAGTTAAGCGTTGTGAGGAAAATCATCATGATGATTATGAGCATATTTGATTGACCGAATCCTCAATATAATCTGAATAAGAATGACAAAATAGCAAAATTCGGGTATATTCGATCACAGATCTTTGTCAACCGGTTGACAAAGATCTGTGATCGAATATACCCGAATTTTGCCTTTTTACGGAGCGAGCGAAGCGAGCGTAGTCTTTCCTTAGATTAACGGAAATTTCTGAGTATGAGCGGCCGGCCGGCCGGCCGGCCGGCCGTGGTCACGCTTTTGCGAGGCTTATATCTCAGCAACCACTTGACCGATTTACACGCGGTAATTTTTGTAGGGTAGCTTCATTCCTTCTAGCAAGTATTGGACTATCCCCGATGCATGTGGGTGACCCCTTATGCACGTGCCACGTGCAAAACGAAGAGGTGTCACTTTTGTAATTGTTGCAATATCTCGGTAACTACTTGGCCGATTGCGCTGAAAGTTGGCATGTAGGTAGGCACCCACTAGGCACTGCATATCCATGTGCCAGAGTTGGGGTGCTGCTGCACGTGCGCACGTGCAGGGGTCGATTCCAGATCTCGAGAACGGCTGGACCGATGACACTCAAATTTGGCACATGGTTGGGGACCGGTTAGTAGGGTGCCGTGCAAAAGTCAGTTGGGACCCATTTTGCACGTGCGCACGTGCAGGGTGCCGCTTCCAGATCTCGAGAACGGCTGGGCCGATTGTGCTCAAATTTGGCACATCGCTAGAGACCGGTTAGTAGGGTGCCGTGCACAAGTCAGCTGGAGGTACCCCGTCGAAATTTCGCACGTGCAAGGCCCACCCTCTCGCTCGCTCCGTTAGTCGCCCCAAAAGGCGTTATACTGGTTGTCATTTTTATTCAGATTATATTGAGGATTCGGTCAATCAAATATGCTCATAATTATGCCCAGCTGTCCCGGTCAGTTCTTACCAAACTCTGTCACCGTGGTCAGTTCTCACCGGGTCTCCAGCCGCCCCAACGTCCTCCAAGCTCTTATCCCGCTGTACTCACTGGGGGGCGATAACCGGACATCCAAGCCGGGCGGGGTGTACCATATATCGCTGGGTAGCGTCGGCCGGCCCCGTGCTCGGCAATGGGCTGGATTTTCGCTCTGACAGTCAGGCTCCGCGTCGGTCGTACTGGTAACGAACTAGTGCTCGGCGCGCTGGACCCGCTCGGGGCGGAGTATGGGGTGGCGTATCTGTGGTACACGTCCAGGGGTCCTGTTGAAATCGGTTCCTGTATCCTCGCGGCACTGATGGTTGGCTGAGGACCGTGCTTGTTGATAAGTGCTGAGATTTATTATGTATACGTTAACAGAAGAGTATTTTAAGCATGTTAATTTGCCTCAGCTATGCTCTCTCACGACTGTTTCGCTGAAGAACTCGCCTTTTTATAATAATCACCCCTGTCGGTTGTCTCGAAGTCCCATTAACCCGCGCCCTGGTGGGGTCTGTTTATAACGCGACCTGGTGGGGGGGGGGGCTATTTTTTGCCCCCCCTCGTATCTCCGAAACTACTGGACGGATCCGCAAAATTCAAACGGCGTTCGAAAGGCCTGTCAAATTTGTCGAAGGAAACCAAATTTCATTGACCTCGGGGTCACCGATGACGTCACAGGTCAGGTCAAAGATGAAATGTTTCACCGTTCACGGGGCTTCTAGGGAATGCGCTATAACACCGAGGAAAACGCATTTTGTCGAGAATCAGCGGTAGGGCGTCAGTTGCCTAGTAGATATGTTGCTATTAGAGGTCACTGGTAATACCAGGTCAGGTCACAGGTCAGGTCACCAAGGGTCACAGGTCAGGTCACATGAGCCCAACTTTACTAAGGTTGTGTGATACATGTTTTATGGCCAATTTTTCATTTCCAACTCAATGGTGTTGGTTATAAGACTATCAGGTACGGTTTAGGTCACTTTCTGGTGAAGTTCAGGTCAAGGTCAGGTCAAGGTCAGGCCAAAAAAGGTCAAATTTTAAAGTTGATAGTTTTGCAAAAAATGGGTATTGATTCGATGCAGCTCGTCACGGGGAGTCTAATGGTGGTCTTTGTTTTGCGCTACGGGGTCTAGAATTGCTAAAAATTGAGTTTGAAAATTTGACGTCATTAATTTTGAACAGTTTTTTTCGCTATACTATAACTTCGCCAAAAAAAGAGGTATCAATCTCAAATTTGGTATGTGGATGGAAGGCGGTAAGGACTATCACATATATTCCGGTTTTTGCGAAATTCAAAAAACTTTTTGGATTTTTCGATTATTATATCCAAAAAATCTATTTTTTTATTTTTGGGGGTCAAAATCCAAAAATTTCAAAAATCCGAGATAGCGGTTTTGTAGCCCTGTTCAATCTACAGCTTTTATGTCTTAATCATTTTTCTGTATTTGCAAAGCTATAGGCCTGACAGCTCTTCCCGCGAACCCTTTTTTGGGTCGAAAACGGCAGAACATGACGTCACTCTGACGTCATTTCCGGCCAACCTATCATAGCCTTTGGAAAAATTTTTGGTCACAATGTGTGAAATTGATGTCCGGGAGGGTACTGAAAGTTTGGTGACGATCGGCGCAGCGGTTCTGGAGATATATCGAAAAGTCTGGAGGGGGGGGGGGGGGCAAAAAATAGCCCCCCCCCACCAGGTCGCGGGTTAACATTGGGCCGTTTCCTTTACCGTATATGCTGCTAACACTCGGTCCGAGTAGACCGAACCGACACCCCGTTTCCATTATTTACGGCGTTGTAACGACCTGTCCGTGTGTGCCCGCAGGCCGTCTGCTATGGGGAACATGTGCAGTACGTGGCTGCCCAGATTGCCGGCCTGTCTGGGCTGTACGTGCTCTCTGCGGCAGCACTGGAGCCGCTGTCTCAGACCCTGGGAAGGAGCGTGACCGCTGTTCGAGAGGTGACCGGTGAGTTGTGTCAGAGGCTGTGAGGTGAGAAATGGACGACGTCAGGGGTTGATAAATGGACTGACAGGCGTTGGTCTCAATTAAGGTAGGTGGCAGAAGAGGTGGAATATGGGATTGGGAGTGTTCTCAGTCTTCACTCTGCCTTCACTCTTCACTCAGTAGAATCTGCCGGATTGGGCTGGGGAGAGGTAAGAGAATCATCGGGGCGGACAGGTGGGCTGTGAATAATGTGATAGTGTCTTCAGGGACTATTAGACAAGTGCTCAATGGAAGAGCAATCAGATTCTACCATTGAAGCTGTCTTCTGTCGGATCATTCCTCCACCCAGTTACAATAAAACTTGAATACAACGATTGATATGCTGGCGGCTGTGTGGTGTGTATAATTTCTGTCCGAATCTGTAAGTGTGGGCTGTGTAGTGAAGGTCCCACGTCGGCCCTCTCCATACCTATTCCTCAATAGTCCCGCCCCAGGTTTTCCGCAGCCACCGACCCCGTGCGGTCGGTGATTGACCCCGTCGGTGATCGCCGGCCGGCGGGCGGTGACGGTCTCGGCAATAGGTTGGGCTTTATGACGTACCCAGAGTATCGACGCCGGGGCTTTCCCGGGTGAATGCTAATTGTTCGCCGAGGAACGGCTGGCCCGCGCCGGCACCGGAAGGCTTCTGATGAAAGCTTTGACGCGGATTATGGGCTAATGTCATTGCCCGACGTTAAAGTATTCTAAGGCTGCAACTGGTCGTGCTTGGACATCGGCAGTAAATACAAAAAAGGCACAGAATCAGCCACTCGCACTTGTTTCGCTTCAAATAGTTAAAAGCTGCTTACTTCGTGGCATCTCCCCGTTTTGTTACCTTTCAGGTAAAATCCGTTTTCATCGGTTCGTTCACTTGGCGCACTTCCCGTGTAACCTGCCTTCGCACCTAGCTCTGCACCGATTGCATGTTTTATTCTCCGCTGGCACTCTGTTCCCGTCTCTCGGACCATATTGGTCCAGCCATCAATTTGCCATGTGATTGTGCGCCTTGGACGGTAGGCGGCGGTATTGGCAATTCACTACCCTGACAGCTAGTGAGGTCAGCGACTTTGCCCCGGCCGTCCCTCCCCCCCCCCGTCCCCGCCCCCCCTACCGTCGCCGCCGTGGCTGTCTGCTGTAATTCACTCACGGTGCAGTCAGTGTCGAGGGCTGTGACCGTCTGCATGAGCTGCAGCGGCGCTGAGATTAGGCATGTGGCCCTTTGTGGAATCCTGCAGTTCGCGGGCCGATTCGAAGGCTCACAGTACGGCATCGTGATATTTGCACTGGTGGTACAGCAAATTTATATGTTACATGGAATTGTTGGGTTTGTGGACAGACACAACTGGAGCATAGTTTTATTTTACGGGATAGGCTGTTAACCACGACCTTTTAGACTTTAGCGAAAAGTTGTGAAAGGGAGCGAAAAACGTCGCTGCTGCCGCACCTCCCCTTCGATAGACATCGGTTATGCTCTCAGGTCCTGTTTAATTTAAAGTTTCTATCATGTTTTTCCAGCGTGTAAAATCTTTCGATTTTCACCGCTGCAGCGGTGAAAATCGAAATCTTTGCAAAAATGAAATATTTGAAAAATCTATGCATCTTTTCGGCCCAGCGCGCTGGGCCGAAAAGATGCAAAGATGTGTCGGCGTCAGCGTGGGTTGAATTTTATCTGGTAATTCAATACGAATTGGGACTTGGCTTCCGATGGGTACCACCGATATGGCTATTTCAGAACCACGTGCTTTTTCGGGATGTGTCAGGCACATGTAAGTCAGACCCACTGACTTTCTCTGGTGCATTTTGATGATGCTCTTATGATGTCCCGCGTACTGTACGGCCGTACGGGAAATGTCCCCATTGTCCCTTTGATGCACCATCTGTGCTGACCTTTTCTGGACGGTGAGCGGAAATCGGTACGTGCTGTGGGTCATAACCGTTACCCTCCTCATCAAAGTGTACGTCTTGATGCGACACTAGAATTTGAACATCGTGTGGACATCAGCTGGTATAGACTGGATATAGAACAAACGGGTCGCTTCAATAATTCAGACTTGACGCGTCTCTTGTATAGCCGCAACGGAAAGGCGGTGGCGCTTGTATGAAGCAATGATTCTTGAAACGACGGACGTTGTGCTGAATGTAGCCTTTAATTCTATTAAGTCTTGGTCTTGACTTCATATAAACGCTGGAAAGTGGAAAGTTTTGCACCCATGGTACACACTAGAACAATGTACTCGGTGCGCTGATATTTATTTCAATCAAGTTTTGTCTTGCTGCCATTAAATTCTAGCAAACCTTTGCCCAATAGGAACATGAGTACGTTGGGTCATGGTAATAGAGGTATGTACATACATGAGAACATAGGGAGCATGGTAAAAGAGGGTTGGCGACGCCACTAGCACAGTGAATTACTCACGTCGTGGATGGTGGCGTTTTCAGCCTGTAACTAGTAGCTAGCTGTTGACACCTGGTTACCGTCTTTCGACAGGTGATGAGCTGCGCCAGTGGCAGTACCGTCGGCCGGCCGTGGGACGAGATGGAGAGGACCAGGTCCTGCCACTGCTACCGGCTGATCACGTCACCGTTACCAAGGGGACCGGTCTGGTGCACACGGCACCCGCCCACGGTCCGGAGGACTTCCAGGTGGCGCTCAAACATAAACTGTCTCTGGTGAGTCATGGCGATCAAACATAAACTGTCACTGGTGAGTGGGGCTCAAATACAGACAGTGGTGACTGGTGAGTCATGGGCATGACGCTCAAACATAAACTGTCAGTTGTCACTAGTGAGTGGGACTTTAACAAAATCTGGCGGTGGTGAGTGGCGCTCAAACACAAACTCTCATTGGTGAGCGGGGTTCAAACTTCAAACACAGATTCAATGGTGAGTTACGCTCAAACACAAACTGTCACTAGTGAGTGGGGCTTGAAGAGAGACTCTCAATGATGCGGTGTACGTAAATACAAACTGGCTGTGCTCAGGCATGACGCCCAAACGCAAACAGTCAGTGACACTTATACAAGAATGAAGAAAGACCGTTTCAATTTTGCAACCACTACCCCCGAACCCCATTTACGATACGATTACGTTTACTTTTATGGCGGCGATGTGATGAAATAAGATAAATTGGTAATAATTTTCACGTAATTGCGAAATAAACCCCGAAATATTTTTGGAGTAAAATGTTCAATATTCAATCCGTGATGAGATGGGCCTCAGAGTCTTTCCCGAAACTATGATATGCTTACCGGCACGCAAGATTTGTCATTCACGAGTAACTGCTTCCTGTTATCCTTCTATTGTCAATGCCGGCATCTCGCCTTCGTACCGCCGCCGCACGGTCGCTGCCGTTCTCTGAATAATTACGCAGATTGGGTGGTCGCGCTCTTGTTCGGGAGCAGGCTTACGTGTCGCCTGATAAAGCGGCTGAAAATAGCGCATCATTATCATCGTTCGAGATCCTTCGGCCGGTGAGCACCGGCCCATGGGGATTGGGTCTTGGAAGGGAGGGAAGAACGCACTGTGTCCACTGGGACCGCGAGGGAGGGTGACTATCAGAGATTGCGTGTGTGAGAGAAAAGCGTGGGTGTGCGCGGGGAAGAACTGGGGAGAGTGGGTGTGGTGAGAGCTTCCGTGTACAGAGGAAAGAATGTTGGTGCGTGGCGCGTGCAGAGCACTGCGTGGGTGCCTATGAGAATATTGTGTGTGGGCGTCGGGATCCGCACCCGTCGACTCGGGTGGCTCCTGGCCAGTGACGTGGGCGGTGACCCGAACTCGCCGCCCCCGCCCCCGCCCCCGCCCCCGCCCACACCGGACTTCCGGTCGGTTCGGCAGCTCTGACCCCCCACCCCCCACCCCGGCCTGCGGGGCGACATTTGGCACCCGCCCAGGTCGGTCCACAATATGTCGCCTCCGCTCTGCTGAGACGTGACGCATGCTGAAAGGAGTGAACCACCGGCTGCCGCCCACTGAGAGCGCTCCTCAATTTTCCCCTTGGATGTAAGTCTGCGGATGTCGAGCGATGGACGCAGCAGTGGCACGAGACGCTGGCTCTCACCGCTCCGTTTTCATCGTGCGTGGGAATTCTTACTTTGTGCGGGAGATAAAACACGATGCTTGAGAGATGGATAGAATGGATGAATGGTGGATCTTCCGTACGTTTTGACTCAGTTACTCATTCTGGTTGAGTAGTCAAGTTCACATATATTCGAAACATGTAAACTCGTGACCTATGGGTAGATCAAATGGCCGGTGCAAATCGTCTCAACTGACGTTTTGTGCGTGGTCATTGACGTCACAACACGATTATGGTAAAACTATACCATCCTGCCACATCGATTGAATATGATTGTATGATCGCAGTATGCTGGAAACGACGTAGCTCGTTTCTGGTTGTAAAAATGCCCATTATGTCTAACCAACCTTTGTGAGTCAAATAAGTGAGCTGACAAGCCTATCGCGAATGGTTGAGGTTCTTGTTATACCTGCCATCTTCGAAGTCGTAATGATGCTCATATTATGCTACACAGAACGATCATTAAATGTTACCTGCATTGCGAAATCATTAACATTGTGCGTCGTGGTAACATTCAAGGATGGCTTCATAGGCGCGACCTAGTCTGACGAGATGGTTTTCGTGCTAAGTGGTTAGACATTGAATACATTTCGTAAAGTTTTGAGTTGAATGATCTTTCGTTTTAACCGTTATTCCGTGTGCGCAGTTTCACACGTTGACCCCGTAGGCCCGTACGTGCTCTTGTGCACTCTGCCGCTGCGCCGCTTAGTGACGCTCACTGACGACGTTCCCTGTCCTCCCTCAGGAGGTACTGGTGGATGAGGACGGGTGTTATACTCAGGAGGCAGGACCAGAGCTCCACCGGCGGCCCGTGCTAACAGAGGGTGACCAGAGAGTACTGGGGTTGCTAGGTAGGTGAGACGATGTCGGGCAGAGCAGAGAAATCTGGTGCTGCGAAGTTGATATGGAGATCCTGTTTGGGACAACCAGCGTGGATAGAACTAAATCGCGAGACAGAAACTTAGCGTGAAATTAATCGATATGATTGAGTGGCAAATCAATATGAACATCAGTTGTTTACTACCTAGTATATTTCAGAATTCGTTGCTAGTCTAGCACCGACTTTCTCATCTCGATGTGTGTCTATCTGTTTTCAGGTGACGATGTGGTGCACGTGGAGGACCTGGTACACAGTTACCCGTACGACTGGCGAACCAAACAGCCTGTACTACTTCTGGCCAGTCGACAGTGGTTTATCGATACGGAGAGGATCAAACAACGAGCGTTGGTGAGTGTCCTTGTCTAGAGCCGGTGAGAACGCTGTGTTAGTGTGTCTGTGTGTTGTATAGGGCGTTTGTGTGTAGTCACGTGTAAGGGTAACTTCAGGGAGATGTATGGCCGGGGGGAGAGGGTTCGTATCAGAATCGCCGAGCCGGTATTGAAATTTGTCGAGACGGCTTATCCAGGATAATTTCGCGATCACAAACAGATGCTGTGTTTATAAAAAGTTTGTTAGGATTGCGACCTTTACTTCTGCTATTTTTATCGTTTTTTGTCTACTTAAGACTTAGATTGGTTGTAAACGTTTTGCACAGCATCTCATGCTGAAAACTTTTAAGTGTTGCAATTACTGTGAATACTCGAGACTTGAGAGCTGCAGGTGCGTTTCTTACTGCAATCTGCTGTTGTACGACTTGAGCTTCAATCCATACCTCCAGGATCGTGTATCCCGAGTGGTGACAAAGCCAGACTTGCAGAGTTAAATGGACTTGACTAACTGCCTCTGGCGATCCCTTTATTCCACAATTGCTTTTCGCTGAACGATACCCATCCTCCCGTTTTGCGTCGTCGTGTCGGCCGTGCTCGAATAACACTCATTCCCAGTCGCTGATATGTCGGTATCTATCCTCCCCAGGAATGTCTTTCCGAGGTGACTATTCTCCCGGAGTCAATCCAGTCCAATATGGCTGACCAGCTGCGTCGCCGACCCTACTGGTGTATCTCCCGTCAGCGCGTCTGGGGCGTACCGGTCCCGGCCTTCTACGATAGGGACACCGACGAGCCCATTGTCAATGAGTAAGTGACGCAGAGTGGACGTTAGAGCGGTGTGTGTCGCTGCATTTCCGTTGGAAATGGGCTGAATGGGTGTGGCGCTAGACATACTGCGTATGGCATGTGCTTTTGTAACGTGGACAGCCTCGGAAAGACGCATTTTAAAGTCGGTAGTGTTGTGCGTGCCTGTGCTGCATGATTGGTTGTGCGTTTAGCGTGATAAGAGTGCAATGTGGCGTCTTATGGTGTTGTGAAACAGGAGATGCGGGGCAATGTATTCAGTCTGTCACCGCTCCCTGAGAGCCAAATCATCATGGTGGTGACGTGTCTAGCATATTCTCAGCGGAGACGCTTCGTGGATCACTGAACGCAGCCGTTGGAAGGGATTTTACGGTAAATTTGTGGATCTTCGGTAAATTTGTAGTGGACTGCAGGACTCGTGCGTGACTGCGAACGTCCAAACACAGTACATATAAGTGCTTCAGAAACATAATTATCTGGCTTTCAACTTCCGTGGAACCAGCCCGTAAACTGCTTTCTAGCCCATTTCGACCTAAGAGTTAACCTCTGGTTCATTCCAACCACTCAGTAAAACTATGTTCCAGCTTCCACCTTCAGGTCCATCCTAGCCTAGTAACCCTGCGGCTCTTCTCGCCCTCCGAGCTTCTCTGTAGCCCTTTTGAGCCTGTCTGAGCTACCGTCTTTCCTCTACCCAGCGTGAACCCTTCCCTGTTGAGTCTGGCTCCCCTGATTTCCGGGTCGCCAGGGTACGATTGAACTGACCCCGGTCAACTCGGCGCCTTACCTCCCGACCTCAGTCCCATCGAATCGGTTCCGAGTGTGGTGCGTCTGGACGGTGACGGAAGTTCGTGTTTGGTGGGGTGTTTGCCGGGTGAAGAAGATGATTTAACACTTTGTGGGCTGATGCTGCTGGGTTTGTGCCCTTGTTTTGTCTCAGTTTTACAATGGCTAGTAATAGATGTGAAACATTCAGATTGGATAGGCCGGCATGGGTGTGTGCTGGGAGGATTCATATCAGCTATGCAATGCATGGTGGCCACACTTGCCGATACCCCGAGTCGCTCAGTACATGGGTAAAATTCGTATGACACAGGTGTAAGTTTCAACACTTCGGGAATCTGGCAGTCTGTCCACCTTACTCCTTCATATCATCTCACGTTAGTTAACACTCGCCGTCTCTTTCCTGCTAAGTCCTCACCTTACCCATTCTAAGTATGTAACCGATGTCTTTCCCACAGTGCGATCATCACCCATCTGAGTGATCTGGTGTCCGCTCACGGAGCTGACGTCTGGTGGGAACGACCCGAGGAGGAGCTGCTGCCACCGGAGATGGTCCGCCAGTACCGCGACGCGGGCCGGCAGCTGCCCCGGAAAGGAACGGTCAGTGGACGGGGACGGTGGGCTATAGACGTAGAGGACGTAGACATAGACAGGGGCAGTGGAAGTGGAGGGTTCGGAACGGGGCTGAGGCGAGTGTCATGTCCTGGGAAGACACGATCGCCATGAATGCACGATATGAATGGAGATGCGACTTGTTGGTTTATGTCAATGAGTTTAGTCGTGACAGAAATAAACGTAGTTGGCCTTTTCTTAGGATTGGCGCTAAGAGGCTGGTTGGTTTTCTATTCGAGAGCCTGTATTTTCCCATTCCAGACGAAATTGTGCTCAGAAAAGTTACGTGGCTACGGGGCCCGGTCAATGGTTGAATTCCGTTCTAGAAAAAGGCGGGTTTCTCAGGGCTATTGCTTTGAACTTCTGTCGGCCAATCGTGAGAAGCGGCTGTGAGGTAGGGTGGATACAAGAGTGAATGCAGGAAAAGTACTTGCGCGCAACACTAAAATGATTTATTTTTACCCTGGCATACTCACATTGTAGGCAAGGGGCTGGCTGGTCTCTTCGGACGTGGAAACTTTAATATCGGTTCTAACTCCTATCGAAAGTTCTAAATATATCAAACGATGAACGTTCTATCCCAGAAACGTAGCGGGATAATTTCTGTCTTGTGAGTAGGGACATGCTATTTCAGTGCACCAATCATCAAGATTGAGTTGTGTAAAAAAAAAAAAACATGTAAGCACACCCGTTTGTTGCGTGCCTACGTCAAGAAGCACTTTTGCAGTTGGTGGGCTACCGATCCATTACGACGGCCATATTTATTTATTTAGTTATTTGTTATGTGGTATTTATTATTGTTGTTATTTCATTTTATTAATTTGTTAGATGGATCGCTTCCCCTCGTGCTGCTGCGCTATGATTCCCGTTGACTGGTAGTCGACTTTTGTAGCACTTACAAGTTGCGTTCATTTGTGCAAATGGATCCGTTGGACAATTTTTGGAACATCGCCACCGAACCTATGCGGTCACGTTGGCTAAGATCAACCAGTCATTACAATAAATCTAGGATCGAGTTGATCTGGGATCCCAAACAGCTCAGCGAAGCGTGTAGAGGTATGTACCCTCGAATATATATCTACCCGAACCCTCGAACCCTCGAACATATATCTAACGCAAAGGTAATGGTTTACTCGAAAGCCGAACGGTGATGGGTTGTTGTGTCAGTTAGCAGAAATCGCGGGCGGGAATCATCAAAGCCTGATGGGATCTGTCGATGTGAATCATCACCTGGGCCCAATCTCCTGGGAGAAATCAGCCTCAAAGTGCTAGTGACGAGGTCAGACAGCGTCAAGGGTGATAAATAGCGCTATTTTAGTGCAATGTACGATGACGCAAAGCCACCGAACCGCGACATTACTGCAAACAATAGTCATTTGTGGTGATAGCTCATTGGACTTTACAGCATCAGCGTCCATTGTCATATTAGAGCCTACTGAATGTCAAAAGGTACGCACTATTTACCCACCGACGGTAGTGTGGTAAACACTGGTGTATCGAGAGGCGCCGTCGAATGGCATCTGTGTCAGCGCAACTTTCGATTATCGCCGTTATTTACAGCGGGTACATGGAAAAGTAAAGTATATACGCATTGCGAACGGGCTTTGTCTTGAACATCTTTTGTAAACCCGGGTGTAATGTGCATTTACTGTGTACAGTTTACTGATGTGTCGGGTAATGGACACAGGCAGACATCGCTATGCTCAGAGACAGACAATAACTAGTTTCGCATCACACGAGCCCTGCGTCCTCGTCTTTTCGGCCACACCAGTCTCATTATTCTGCTCCTGAAAAGCGAGGGAGAACAGTGTGAAACCGGCGACGGCTGGTAGCCATGGGATATAAAGTACACCGTCGACCCACCTTGCACCATCAACGGACATGGCTTCGCTCTCAGCACGCCGAGTGTGGCCGTGACCTCAGTGGGTTTTGAGGCCAGACGGATGTGACGGCTGCGATAATAAAGGGCCGTTTTTAGTGGTGTCTTGGGAGGGGGTTTGGGGCGGCTGGGACTGGCTGTGGTGATATGGCCTGGGCCGTGGCAGGAGGTGTGTGAGCCGTGATAAGAAATCGGCTGTGAGCTTTCCTTCCTCGGTACTGTTAGGGGTCAATACTGTAGCTGATAGGTACTCGGATGAACACAATTTGACAGCCGCTGGTGGATCCGTGCTGGCGGGAAAGAGAATGTGAATGGTTGAGCCGCATCCGTGATGTTGACATCCAGAACTCTAAGCACCTTCTCATTAATTTCCTATCACCAAAACACCGTGAACCTTTGTTTGGTCGCTGAAGCCAGACTATGCGTTCAGCATTTGCACTTATTGCACGTATTCTGTTTTCTGTATTCTGTATTTGCATTAACCGACTACAGGCCTTGCAGCCCGTTTACAGTGGCAGTCAATTTAAACTAGATAACACAACACAACACATGCACACTACGATGACAACACATTACATGTACGTTCCCTGAGAACGAGCAAACTCACGGATGTCCGATAAAACGGAGCACGATGATGCCAAAGCCAAAATGTCAGCGGTGTGTGTATGTTGTAAGAAGCGGAAAGTGACGTAGGATAGAGAGTTTGTGCAGGTGATAAGTGTCGCACAGGACTATGTTAGCTCTCGAACCGCCCTGAACACTACATACTGCGTCTTTTGTATCAGGACATCCTTTAAATCACGTTTTGTATCGATGTGTCCTCAGGACATTCTGGACATCTGGTTCGACTCGGGTGCGGCCTGGTGGTCCTCCGACCCGGACTGTGAGCCCGAGCGGGCGCCGCGGGCCGACCTGTACCTGGAGGGAGTGGATCAGTTCACCGGCTGGTTTCAGAGCTCGCTGCTCACCTCGGTGGCCGTGGCCGACCGGGCGCCGTACAGGTGAGAAGGGTTAGACCGGGTGAGAAAGGTCATGAGGGCAGGAGGGGTGGTATGGGGTGAGAGGCGTCGGACGAGTGAGATGGGGTTGAATAGGTAAGAGGGATCGGATAGGCGAGGTGGGTGTTGTTGTTGTTGTTGTTTTTTCCCCACGCAGCGGTCGCTACGTAGCCTCTCGGCTCTGGAGGTACCTGGCGGCGGCCCCCAGGGCCGCCACCACGCCGCTGCCTCGGACCTCCTCTTCGCTCGGGTGTATGTTGCCTAGATGTCGTAGGCGTAGTCGCATCAGTGCCGGGCAGCGTAGCAGGATGTGTGCCGGCGTGTCTGCCTCCTCTTCGCCACAGCAGCGGCAGCCGGCCGCCCGGCACGTCAGCGAGTTGCACTGCGCGCAGTCCCGGCCGGGGTTCCTGCCGATCCGATGCAGGTACTGCGCAGATCCTGACCAGTGACTAGCGCGCAGTTGGTGCACATCAACCGCCACCTCTCGTGGAGTAGTGCTGGGCAGCGGTGCGGGTAGGTGGCCGTCCATCAGCCGCCTATACCAGCCGTCCGGCCAGTTGCTGATCGCCTCCTTTCTGGCCATCCGGGACGCCGCACGGTACACCGTGCGGACGTCAACCGGGACTCCCTGCTGTGGGAGGGCGGCGGCTTCCTTGGCGATAGCGTCCACCCGCTCATTTCCCTCCAGCTCACAGTGGGACGGCACCCATTGGAGGTGGACCCTACGGTCCCCGCCAGCCACCAGTGCCGCCATGTGCTCCCAGATGGCGGCACCTAGAGGGGACGTCTGGGCCGCTGGTCCTCCTCTCAGCGTCGCAAGTGACGCCTGTGAGTCGGAGCATATGATGATATCCTGTTCGAGGGGTGGGTGCTCCAGGAGATGTCGCACTGCCGTCTTCAGAGCCACCATCTCAGCCCGGTAGCTAGAGCATATTTTTCCCGCCGCCTCTCGCAGAGCTTCCGTCGTTCCGTCTGGGTGTTCGATTAGGACCCCGGCACCGCCATTCGTCACTCCGCCGGTCGCCGACCCGTCGGTCCAGGCCCACGTCGCACACTGGGGGAGCGCTCCCAGGCACGTCTCCGCAGCGCTTCGCCTCATCGACGCGGTCGCTCCGATCGGGAGCGGGCCGATGTCCAGGCGGATCGTCACGTTTTCCGTCGCTGTCCACGGGGGCGGCCTCGTGGCTAGGCGAGCCTCGACGGGTAGCTCCACGCCGGCGCGGTCCCACACCGCTCTCCCTCGGTCTCTCCATCCGGTCACGGACTTGAGGCGCGGCACGGGGGCGGCCTCCGCCACGGCGTGCAGTGGGTCCTCCGGCGGGAGAGAGTGCGCTTTCGCCAGCAGGCGTGCTGCCAGCGCATCCCTCCTCGCCGCCATCGGCACAACGCCCGCCTCTGCTCTCACGGCGTGCCTCGGGGTGGAGATCGGACAGCCAGTGATGGTGCGTGCCGCCGCCAACATCTCCACTTCCAAGACGCCGAGATGTGTTGTCGCAGCCGCAGGCAGCCACGCCGCCGCCGCGTGTTCTATGGCGCCGCGGATGTATCCGTTTGCCACCGTCCGGAGGAGTCTCTCGCCGAGCCCCCACGACCTTCCGGTGAGCTGTCTGAGTTGGTTGATTCTTGGTCTTGTTTTTCTTCGTAGACGACGGCAGTGCGGCCCGAAGTGTAGGAGTCTGTCCAGTGTGACGCCCAGGAGGTGGAGGGTCTCCTGCGCCTCTACTGTGTTTCCAGCTACCGTGATGCGGCAGTCCTTGGCGTCCTTGGCTTGCTGCGAGAGAACCAGGAGTTGGGTCTTCTCGCCGGAGACCTTCATCTTGGTTTCGCGCGCCCACCTTGTCAGCGCGTCGGCTGCCTTCTGGAATCTGGGCCCTCTCCCTCGCCACTTCAATAGTGTTGCCCGCGCAGAGCACCGCCGTGTCATCCGCGTACATGTAGGGTGTGCATCCGGGGATCTTCTTGATGACCTGGACCAGCGGCGCCGCCCACAACACAAACAAACTGGGCGACAGCACGCTGCCCTGGGGTAATCCGGCGCGAAAGACCCGCTCACCGGACAGAGCCCCGCGAACTTCCACTCTCGTCCTTCGGTCTCTCAGCCACTGCCACACCCAGCGGACGAGGCACAGCGGCAGTCCCTGCTCGGTCAGGTTGAGCCGGAGGAGGCGGTGGTCCACTACATCATACGCTCGGGCAAAATCAAAAGCCACGAGGACGTATTTCTGTGCCACGCTTCCATCAGGCCTCCTCGCCGCCGTTCTTCGATCGACCGCCGGTCTCTGCCATCCGTCCTGCACCTCTTGGACGAGGCGGCCGATGTTGTCCTCCACCGACCGCCCCGCTCGGAAACCCGTCTGTTCTGGAGGGAGCAACCCTCGGCTCTCCGCGAAGTAGGTAAGTCGGGCCAGGATCATGCGCTCCAACAGCTTGCTCAGGTTGCTGGTGAGTGCTATCGGCCTGTAGCTGCCCAAGAGCCTCTTGTCTTTGCCGGCTTTCGGAATCGGTATCACCGTCGCGACGCGCCACTCTTTCGGGACCTCTCCGGAGCTCCACGAACTGTTAAATGTCCTGAGGAGTTCTTTCTTGGCAATCGGGCCGAGGTGGCGGAGCATCTCGTTGGTGATACCGTCGGGGCCCGGCGATTTCTTCAGCTTCGTTTCCACGATCTGGGCGTTGAGCTCGGCCAGGGAGAAGGGCGCGCACATCTCTGTTCTCCGGTCTCGGCACTCACATGTCCGTGCCGCCGGTTGAGACAACTTGCGCTTTGCGGTGAGGTCGACCTTCTTGTTTCTGACATGACGCGATACTTGTGCGTATGTCTTTACGAAGGCGTTAGCTTTCTGCTTGTCCGTAACCAGAAGCTTATTGTCGTCGTCCATCATCGCCTGGCCGTCTCGGTGCTCATCGTCGGTCGCTCCTTCCCACTTTTTCAGTATCTTGGAAACTCTTCCGAGGCTTGCTGGGCGGTTCAGTGTTGTTCCCACAAACTCGCGGAACTGCTCTCTGGAGACCCGTCCCTCAACCTCGGCGGCGCGCTGCTTTGCTTCAATCCAGCGCGCTCGGCTGTCCGGGTCGTCGGGTCGGATCTCCCGTCTGGCAGCTTGGCGGTCACGGATGGCTTCCTGCAGATCAGGATGGAGGGCCCACGGTCGGGGGTCCGCTCGCGCCCCTCTCGGAATGTGTCGCTTGGCCGCGTTCTGGATGGTTTCCGTCAGGCGTGTGGCGGCCTCCTGAGCCGTCCGCGTCGGCACCGCCCCGGTCAGGGCAGCCTCGCAGTCGTCCTGGAAGGCTCGCCAGTCCGCCTTGTGGTGAGCCCATCTGGCCTTCCTCTTCCTCTGAGGACGCGCGTCGGAGGCGAGGTGGGTCGTACGTATTGTACGGGTGAGAAGGCTTTGTGCGGGTTAGAAAGTCACACGGGTAAGAGGGGTCGTATGCGTGAGAATTTAAAAGGTCGCACGGGTGAGAAGGGTTGTAAAGTGAGAGGGATTGGACGGGTAAGAGAGGTTGCACGGGTAAGAGAGCCCATACAGGTGAGATGAGCCGTATGGTTTAAAATAAATGTAGGGAAAGTTTAACTTATTCATGCTTTTACATAATAAATTGCATTCTGTCTTACATCGTCTAAAGCATCTCCCTTCCGTTCTACCTAGTCTTCAGGTGTAAGTGCTCACTGCTCAGCTGTATGAATGCTACCCGGTAGCGGCCATTCATTGAAGATACGCCAGTAGCGACACACCAGCTATTGTCAGCCGTGTCGCGTATCTTGATTGGCGCTTATATGTGTGCGAGATGTCTGGCGTCGTCTGCTCATACGGCCCTCGACTTAAAACTTGCTCAGCGGGTCCCCAGCAGTAGAATCCGCGCCTTCCTGAAATGTCCGGCTGGCAACTGCTTCCGGACAAAAACCAGACTGGGTGGAACTTGGTTTGGCTCAGATTTTATTTCATTACATGGTGCAAGAGGGACAACACGGAACGTGCAGAGTCTAGTTTATTGCTTAGATATGTCTGGCGCATTCAATAAGAAAATTCCCGACAGTCTGAAGAATATCGATTCTTTTGTTCACCTTGTCACGTTGAAGTTCGCACACACTCCGCTGGTCAGCGAGTACGAACTGCGACCTGCGTTTACTGACACGGTTTTACCCGGTGTGACCGTCAAACAGCGCCGGTGGTCCGTAAAGTTTCGCGAACCGGACCGTGTTCCACTTTAAGACGGCCGACCTCGCGGATCCGAAGACGGATACGGCGCCACGCGTCGGCTATGGTTCACGGAAAAGTTCCGGCATACGTTAGCATGTGTTGCGCCAGTCATGGGGTACGGTCTCGCGGAATATCACCTGGTTTTGAACCGAGTTCCTGTTCCAACTCTGCCCCGTGACGCAGCCGCCCACGGAGCTCCTTCTCGCAGCTTCCATCGTCGCCAAGTTTCCGCTCGTTTGAGCGCGTGGGTCGCCGCTCCGTCCACTGCAGTCAGTGTTTTTGTACGCTCCGAGCGGCCGCCGGACGCCTACCGACCGTGCCCCGGCCGGGCCGCGCTGCAGTCCCTGAGGAGTCATCACAGCCTGTTGCTTGCAGCGGTGGTGGCGGCCGAGCACTATAGGTGGGCGGGCGGGCGGGCGTTTTCCACAGCAGCAGCCCACAGGCGGCGGCGGTGGAGGCGGCGGGTGGCGGCGACAGTCGTATTGACGCCGGCCAGCGCTGGCCGCCGGGCTCCATTGACGGCGGGCGCACCGCTAGTCAGCGGGGGGCCGCGTGCGATGGACCCCCCGCAGAGAGTGGGCTGACCAATACACACCGCGTACGATGAATCCGCCGCAGAGAGTGGGCTGACCAATACACACCGATCGGAGCTGCCGAGCGGGGAAGAGGTGGGTGGGAGGGTGGCTGACGGCGGCCGTCACAGCCCGAGTATGAGGAAGTCGAGTTGTCGGATGGTGGCGAAGTAAGATAAAGCATAACAGGGCGCCTTTGATCCTTGCTTTATGATGATGATGCTGAGAGCTTAGACTGTATTTAAACTGAACCATCGCGTTTTCTGGACTGATATTTGGTTGTGTTGCTTCCCAATGATCATTTTCGGTGCCAGAGGGACATTGCTTCAGTGAACTACAACCAGAAAGGATTAGCTAAGGGCAACCTTATTTTTAGGCTGGTGTCTTCGAAAAATAAGATATTTTGGCTCTGCATTCCAGCGATGGGCCCGACACTTTAGCTTTGACAAGGTTAGAAAATTAAATTCGTTGAATAATGGTGTTCATTTGGCATTTCTCCGAACTGGTGGTCTGAACGCCTTCATCCCTTAGATGGAATAGCATTGCTGGACATTGGGCATTGGGTGTTGGCAGAACCCTGCTGGCTTCTGAGCCGTGTCTACCTTAGGTTCTAGACTCGGAGAGGAGCTTATTGTTTTTTTTTTCATATTTCACAAACGTCATAAGCGTTGGACTCGATGCACGTAAATTATCGCAGACAAAACCACTTGCGTCACATTTTGTCGCACGGAATATAATCTGATAAAATAGTAACCCTTACATCGTAGGTTATAAAATGAATGCTGTGAATTACACTTTGATGTGGAATATTACGTTTTTATTCTTTGCATTTTAGGAGTATCTTCGTGCACGGCTTTGTGATGGATGAGCACGGCCGAAAGATGTCCAAGTCCCTGGGTAACGTGGTGGACCCGACGGACGTCATTTTAGGCAGCCAGAGCGAACCCAAGAGGACCGCTTACGGCGCAGACTGCCTCAGGTGAGCCGGGTCGGCGGTCAGAGGGCGAGGTCGTGAGGTCACTGGGCGGGATTAAGGGTCACGGGTGAGGTCAATGGGTCACGTAGAGGTCAATGGGTCACGTAGAGGTCAAGGGTCCTGGGTCGGTCATCGTAGAGTGAGGTTGTAGACCTGAGAGTTAGGGACCACTTTCCAATTGAAGGTAGGTAAGGGTTACCGGCCAGTCTGCAGTCACACAGTTGGGTCACGAATTAGTGTCACGGATTAATATCACCGGTTAAAGTGAGGGACTACGGGACGGTATAACAGGACAGGACTAATCACGGGCCCGGGTCATGGGTCAGCCATAGGACGACGTTTAGGGGTCATTGCTCGGCGCGGCCGGCCGGCTCCAGATATTGCCAGCTCCGTATCAAAGGTCAGACGTCCAAGGAGACGGCGGTGGTGTGATGTGTGCCACTGGGAGCAGCAGTTCTACACAGATATGGCCAGTTGCTAGCTCATTTTTGCCAGCTCGGGTGCCTGGGCACATATTGCTGGCGTTGGTCATGTGTGGGAAATGGAAATGACTCTTTCTGGTACCTATTACATGCTGTGCCATTTTAAAAGGCAACCTTGAAGCGGGCCCGTAATCAGTGTAGCTACTCACTACTCATAAGTCACATCCATCGTTCGCTGCCGGAGAGTACTGTCCGAGAAGCACCGCTTTCTCGAGCGCCGGCCGACCTCAACCGAACCACCGCTTGTCACTTGGGGGCGCTTCATTCCGAGATATTGGTATCGCTCCAGCGAGCCACACACCCTGCTTCCAAAGCACGAGAACGCTGGTGATTGTTCGATCACGGTGTCTCCGCCTGCCTGCGTGTACTCCGCTGGAGCCGGATTACAGCTGTAACCAGTGTTCACCATCCCGGTCCGTCTGTCCCGGAGACAAGCGCGACTGATTGAGGTCTGTACAGTGTCTCGGTCCTGTCCGCGAGACACGGCCGGTAGAGGTGCGTGCATCGTCGTAGCCTGTTTGTCAAGGACGGGACCGACACAGCTTGTACAGTTGTCCTGTCTTAAAGACGGAATCTACAGCGTACCAGTTCAGTGTCCTGAAGACGCAGCCGCCCAGGCCCACCCATCCTGGAGACACTTCGAGCAGAGGTGTGCCCGCATCCCAGCCGTGGCACGGTGGCCGCTCAGGCGGTCCGACGCCGGGTATTGATCGGTTATTTACCTCCGCGCACTGGCCGGGTGATCAGAGAGGAACGGCTAACAGACTCTGACCGGGTGCGGGATGGTGACACAGGGGCTGGTCGTACCATGGAGTCGGTCCCCAGGGGTGTGAATTGAGCATTCGTGTTTATGGACTGAATCGAGGTGGTATAAACCGTCTGGATGCTCGACAGTCGACATTATCATCTCCCAGAGCATATTGAATTATGGCATTTTATTAGCCAAGTATGTGGAGTTTCAAATCCGCAATCATATTAAACTCAAAGCCTGCATTCACGGTCATTTCACCTGCGCAGACAATGTAATTGCCTGTCGCTCATTCATCATGCTGCGCTCATTTATCTCTCGCTCCTTCCGCATACCTAATCGTATTTGCTGCTCTGGCTGAATTGCGTCGGCTCTGAGGCGCTGTTCTCCCTGGCAACCTATAATGAAGACGTGGGCCGTAAACTGGCTATTCCACCTACGAGGCGATGGATAGATGAGAGAGACGGACAGGGTTCTACGAAGTTTCCAGCCCAGCCATCTGATCCTTACGGGTCTTGCGAGGATTTGAACACCGTTTCTTTCATCTCCCTGCCGCGAGCGTATTTTACTCGACATTGTTTACCTACTTCAGAGGCGGAAAACCTTTGTCAGGTCTGGTTGGATGAAACCTGCTGAAAGTGGTTCTTAAGCTGGACGAACCAATGTTTTAAGTGGTTACATTTCACACACGACAATCTTTCTCAGTACTGGAGGAATGAGACAGCGTAATGCACGCATTGCAAAGTGTTGAGACGGCGGAACGATGTTGCTCAGTGTCATAGGATAGGGTCAAATATATGATCCTGGACAGACCTGTCAGCAGGCTAAAGCTGATTTCAAGTTGTTTTCGATGATGAGAATGCCGAGGACAGTACCTCAGACGGTCGTGATTCAGATTTCTGACCCTGGCATGCTCGGCAAGTTTTTTTTTTTAAACTACCACACTTAAACTGAAACTAGTTACTGTATTTCAGTGTTCTTTCCCATCATTCATATCTCAGTTCGCTTTTTTCCCCATTGCTACTCGTAGGTACCACTATAGGCCTATCATGGATGTGGAATAGTGGAATGGAATAGTGCTATCTCTACATGCGTCTATCTTCTGGCTGGTCATCTCCCAGCTTCTTCTTGGTTATCTATATATCGTCCTTTTACTGTGTGTACTGACCCCGACAGGCTGTGGGTGGCCGGACATGCCACCAACAACACACATATCACCGTGGGCGAGTCGGTGCTAACCAGCACGGCCGAGCGGCTGCACAAGATTCGCAACACGTGCCGCTTTCTACTGGGGGTGCTGAGCCGACACGACGCCGCGCGACCCGTGCCGCCCGAACAGATGGAGTGGGTGGATAGGAACATGCTGCATCGACTGGCGGAGTACACGGACCAGGTGGGTATGGTGGGAGAGACGGAGGGAATGGGGGAGGAAGAGAGAGAAGGGATGGGCGTCACCTCCATATTTCCTCATACCCCATGCCTTGCTTATGCACCTCGTTTTCAATAACCAGGACGGGTCGGTCTTGTTTTATTGAGTCTCACACTCTCCTTTCCCCTCGCGTCCCTCTCCCTCTCCTTCCCCGCCTTCTTCTGTCTCTTTTTCTCTCATCCTCTATCCCTTTCTCTTCCCCTCTTCTTCTCTCTCCTTTCCCTCCCTCCCTCCCCCTCCCGCGTCCCCCGGTCTCTGGGGACCCGTCCGTTGCGGGCCGCTCAGAGTGTATTGGCGGCCCGTCGGGCGGCGACTGTCAGAAGTTGGCCGCGCCCAATCCGTCCCGCCACCAAGTTCGCCGTACCGCTAGCCGCGCCCCGAAACTCTCGCCCGTTATGAATCGACGCAGCGGCGGCGGGCTGCGGCGCCGAGATTGGATACACGCCGCCAACTTCCGCACTCTGGCTATGTACTGAAATTAACATCCGATCCGGCGTGATTTCATGTGGAATTGCTAAAGAGGCGCGCGTTTCATTTCTTGATTGGAGTGCCTGGTCATTCAAGTTTTCGAAAGTTATTGAGTCCGATTGGAGGTTTTACGTTGCCTAGCAGCGATGGAAAGATGTTTGAGTTGGCGACAAACCCGCATTGATAGACTTCACTGAGGAGTGAGGTGTCCATTCAACTTCAAATATTACCAGTGTTTTTATAGTTCCCTCTTGCAGTTGGTGCCGATCATATCTCAAAACGACGAAGTTTTGAACCTTTTCAATACCGAATTTCAATTCATAATATGATAGTGGCTGTAGGTACAGCCCTCTGCAAACTGCGTGGTAGGTATTCTTTTTTGGATAAAACGGAGACTTACGCGAATACTATGCTATCGGTCAGTCAGAAATCGTAACAGCAAGACGCGCGAGACTCCGCACCCTAGATTGGCATCATCATCGTATTCATTTTCCATCCAGTTTGGCAACAAAACCGAAAAGTGTATATTTGCCCCCAAAACAAACTTTTGCATTTTGCTGCCACACAAGGCGTATACTTTGTTTAGTGATAGACCCAATCGAAGGAGTGGAGCATAGCGCATCTATTTGTAGTGAGTTCCGACCGACTGATAACATAGCTTTTGAGTTATTACCAGTTTTGTCGAAAAAAGAATGCCTACCACGCAGTCTGCTGAGGGCTGTACCTACTGAAAATTAAGTTGCTGTATTTCGCTTCTTTCCAGACGGTTACTAAAAATAATAATACAAAACTTTACAAGATCTATATTCTTGTCTATATTACTTCTCAAACAAATGAATGAAACGTAACATTATTGTTATGGAAAGAAAATTTCGTGAACTCGGACTCAAGGCATATAAAGATATTTTCCAACTAGCACAGATCGTTCACATAGCCTCTTCCATGTCAGGTTTGAATCTCATGACCAAATATAACCTGAGACCTGGCTGTATCATGACGGCTCTCCAGTCCTCTATCGATCCATAGCGCCGCGCGGCCATTCACTTTTGTCCCCGCCAGTATCTGGGAGTCAGTTCTTTGACCGCAGCTCTGTTTCCGAGCGGCGAGCAGTGCCAATATTGAGAGCGGCGCTAATGTACCATAGCCTCCCGCAGGGGGAGGGGGAGGGGACGCTTCCTGCCCACCATCGTCGGTGCCTTTCAATCTGCTAAGAGTTTTGCGCTGAGCTGGCTCTATAGAGCGTATTGCTGCCGGCCGGCCGGCCGACAACGCTCGGCGTCCGTCGTGTTACGATCAGAGACTGGTGGGGGCCGTTTGACCCAGGTCGGGACGGTAGAGGACAGGAGTGGTCTGTGGTACGTTTGAAGGGACGGGGAGTTTAAACAGAGAACGTGTGCTGGTAGGAAGCAGATCGACCAGTCTGTCCACGGCTGTCGCTACGCTGTACATAAAGCTGTCCAGCTGGCGCTGGGTCAATGTACGCTCACTGGGAGAGTTGCTAGCTGCTAGAGATGTTCCCTGTGGACTTTTATCACTGTGAGGATTACTGACTGTGAGAGCTGCGTACTTTGAAAGATGTTTCTGAAAAGATGTGTGTTAGTCGTTGTGAGAGAGCGCCCGACTGCTCTGAAGGCACACCAACTGGCGAGGCCATTCCTTTTCTTGGAGAGTGACAGCGCTTTTAGGACAGTCTTTGAGGATTCCTGCGTAGCGGCTCTGTGAAGTGTCCGTGGTGCTGTAATGCAGCGAGGCACCGCGTCAGGACCGGTGCGTTTCCGTTGGAGGGCCTGATGGTCTCTGGAGGGACTGCGAGGACCGTCACATTGCTGACTGACTGACGACTTGATGACCATGAATGTTTGCTGAGTGCTGGAACCGAGGAGTTATAGGAGGGGGAATCCGGAGAATTAATTCCATTGGCGTCCACTCATGATAGCTCGAGGTGTTTACGCTGGATGCCTTCATTAAAATGATTCAATTAATTCTCAATCAGGAACCGGTTCGGCCACCGGAGCACGTAATTTGACTCGTGTCGCGCTCAACCAATCCGTTCAATATCCCTGCGCAAGGCCGCAGGCCCGGCAGCCCGCAGTCTCAGCACAAATATGATCTATTCGCCGCCAAAACCCGGCGAGTACGATGTCCGCACGGCGTGTTGCTGGCATGGCGTAAAGCTACCGCTGCGTTGGCGTGAATAGCGGACTTGCAGCAATGGATGGGCGTCATATACCATACCTCTGTCAGGCATTCGTCACATAAGAATGGCATCCACTTCCAGGACTGTGTGCGCAGTTTCCTGATATTGACACCTCATAAATCCATTCACTTTCGTGTATGTGTGTGCTCTCGATGCCGCTCTGTCTCCCTGTTGACGACTTCTTTTGTCCCCAGTGTGCTGAGGCGTATGACAAGTATCAGTTCAACCGTGTGTTGGCACTGCTTACGGCGCTAGTTACCAACGAGATCTCCGGCTTGTATATCCACATGACTCGACACAGGTAATGGGAAGTCTGCTGTTCTACCTTTGACAAGTGTGCCACGCTGCAGGATGCATGTACGTCGTGTCCGTCTTTGACGAATAACCAGTGATGTGATATGAATGAGCAGCACTACAATTCAATCATGCGCCGCTTTTGTACAAGAATCAATTAACGTCAGTGGATCTGATCCTCCAGCTTCTGTGGCGTAGCTATGTATTTTTTTTTTTTATTGATTTATGTGTGCAATTATTCCATTGTATACCATTACCGTATAGGACACCTCATCTCATGTCTGGTCATGGTGACCTCTCCTGACCTGCAACCCCAGATCGTACAGTTGTGGCAACCCTAAACTGTACGCACTGAAGTGACCGCTTCCAATCTGTGCCTCCCAGGCTATACTGCGGTGACCTGAGCAGCGTGGCCGGCCGGTCGGTGCTGACCACCATGCACCACGTGCTATCAGTGGTGCGACAGACGATGGCACCCATCCTGCCGCATCTGGCAGAGGAGCTGGTCCTACATGGGCACGACGGAGGTGAGAGAGGGAGCGGGGGGAGAGAGAGAGAGAGAGAGAGAGAGAGAGAGAGAGAGAGAGAGAGAGAGAGAGAGAGAGAGAGAGAGAGAGAGAGAGAGAGAGAGACAGAGACAGAGACAGAGACAGAGACAGAGACAGAGACAGAGACAGAGAGAGACAGAGACAGAGACAGAGACAGAGACAGAGACAGAGACAGAGACAGAGACAGAGACAGAGACAGAGACAGAGACAGAGACAGAGACAGAGACAGAGACAGAGACAGAGACAGAGACAGAGACAGAGACAGAGACAGAGACAGAGACAGAGAAGACCGAGACAGACAGAGAGGGAGGGGAGAGGTGAGAGAGGAGGGGAGATAAGAGAGGCAGGATACTGGCAGAGTGAGCGACTGGTTGGAGAAGTGATTCCTCTTGCATTCCATTCTTATTTTCGGCGTATTTTTGCTCCTTTGTCGGCGTATTTTTTGTCTCATTATTTTTTTTTCTCAGTGCGGCAGCCTGCAGTTTGCGCTGCTGCAGTGGAAATGTGTTCGCATTCCAATTGTTATTCAATCGATGTATTTGCAGCGATCTTTTGTTGCTAAATCCACAGCCTCCAACCATAGGCACGGTATCACCGCTCTCCAAGCAAAGTTACCGAGCTCGTTTGCTATCGAGCCGACTATTGAGCCTCCACTTGTGGCAGCGGGCGGCTCATTTCAGACGACGGAGGAAAGCCGATGTGGGCTGTTTTTCTATAGAATGTCGCTGATTGGCAGTGAAAGAGAAATGCAACAGCGAAATAAATGATGGCGCTATACGAATGTGAGTTGAGTTTTTGCGTGTGGGATGCTGCTGCGTATTGATCTGTAGCGAGGATATTCATGTGACTCTTACCGCAGATCACGAGCTTGGAATTCCGTCGCTGATGTAAGACCATTTCTTTTGAACAATCAGTCGGAGTTGGCAGCTAGCTATCCTTATTTATATCACGGCTGTTTTTTTTCTTTCAGTCACAGACTGGGCCTCCCTTTTTCACATCTTGCTATTTATTCCTTAGCTGGTACTGTGCTGTATTTTCGGCTGATCTGTTTTGTTTACAAGCTTGAGGTAATGTTTGGAATTTTGCGCTTCATTTGGAGTGTTGTATGTCGACACCGGTATGGACTGGCTGGTAGCGGCACAAGGTCCATCCCTGGTCTCCCGTCAGCAGGTGGGTTTCAGGGCTGGCACTGCGGGCTCTGTGCTGACCATCTGGTCCGGATGGGGCGGCCAGCGGTCATCTGGGATGGCGTCTGGCAGTCTGTCTGGGTAACGGCTCCAGACGGTAGCAGCGGCTCACGGCCCTAGTACGATTTAAATAGTCGTGCTGCTGTGTGGTAAAAGAGACTGATACTGTTCTAGGATAGTAACTCCAGTTGTCTGTGGATGATGAGAGTATGGTGGTTGTACACTTTTCTCTCTACGGTAACTAACGTAAGGAAGGAACGTTTCTATGGTTCCTTTCTATGGTAACTGTGCTCTATACTGAGGTCCGCTGGCCGACCTGTCGGTAGGCTCGGACTGTTGCCTGGGCAGGAAGGGGAAGGGCTGGCGGCTAGCTGCCGTGAATTGGTAGCGCTGGCTACTGTTTGTCTGAGGCTCGTACGGTCCATAACCCCCCTACGGCTCACCGACCCCGGCGTCCTGGGCCGGAAGCACGGCGCTGGGGGTCTGGCGTTGATCAGGCTGTCAGATGAGTGTCAGTCTCAGAGTGTCTGAGAGGCTTGAGGTGTTTGTGGTTCACTGGGTTCACGTGATCATCGTAACCGTCTTCTTCAATGAGCAAAATGTTTGGTGTCTTCCGTGCGTCTTAACCCTAGAACGCCAAGGGGGGGGGGGGGTTGTATCAACCCCCCCCCCTGAGGTTTTTTCGAAGTGCACGCTAAACGGCTTGTCGTAGCGGGCTGAAATTTTCAATACCCTCTGGGGCAACCTTTGCGCATCTTTTGCCGAAAAAATTGATCGGGTCATGTCAGGTCACGGAGTTATGACGTCATAAGAGGTACAGCCTCCGGTCGACAGTTACCAAACGTGTGCGCCGAATCCCTAGGTTTTCTGCCGGTGATACCCACATTGTTTGATGGATTATGATGAAACTTCCCATGCATGTTGGGGCAAGCATTGGCTATCGTGTGGTGCAAGAAAATTGACCGGGTCAGGTCAGGTCACGGAGCTATGACGTCACAAGAGGAACAGCGTCCGGTACTATTTTTGAAAAGCGCCCGAACCACTATTTTGCTAATTCTTGTCACCTCAATGGGAATATGCAGCAATATTAGCTTCTATAGGGAGCAAATGGACCTCCCAAATCCAAAAATACAATCAGATTTCAAAAATTTAAATTTTGATTTTTCGAATTTCTGCCGCCGACTGTGACCTTGCCGACTTCCGGCGCTCCCAACGCGCCATTTTTAGAGCTAGGGAAACGAAATACATACCAAACGATAGAGAATTGATCAAGGAACACGATAGTGAAGGTTTCAAGTCGATATCTCCCACCGTTTTGCCGCAATCGCTGCGGAAAGTTGAAAAAGTTTGATTTTTTCGGAAAATTTGACCTTTGACCGGTCATAAGTAGGTCAAATGTTGACCTAGGACCAAAAAATATACCACCAATCGCGAGATCTCGTTGAGAGCAATCCGTTGGTTTTTTTCCGCTAAGCTCTACGACCTTCCGTTTCGAAACGCCAGGGGGGGGGGGTCGTAACAACCCCCCTCCCCTGGTCGTTCGTGTTATGAGAAATGGCCTGGTCGTGCGAGGGTTAATGCACATGAATTGCGAGCGGTGGCGAACCGGGTTTTTCATGCATAATCACTTGAGGAAGATGAAACGAAAAATAAAACTGTAGCCAAAGTTTACTCATTCAGCTGCTGATATGCCTCGTCGTACTTTTCCAGGTTGGCTATCGCCAGATGAGATGTCCGAACTTAGCGCGCCTGATTTCCCCCGGCATTCCTGTTATCATACAAGTTTAAAATAGCGCCAACACTTCCGTTAAATGTCGCCACGTGAGGATCATTTCGCTCCCAACCTGGCGAAAATTAGAGCTGCTTGGGCGTGTGTGACGATGGCCTCCGACATTTCCTCAGCACTTTGTTCGGCGCTGCCTTTGTAAAGGAGTGAATTTATCACGGCGATTTAACAGCAATGTGGCCGTCTATCTTTGTTCTGCCTGGCTAGCTGTGGCTCACCATGTTTTAGTCGGGCAATATTTTGTTCATCAAAGTGGATTTGTTGGCGATTTCCGACAATGCGCTGTAACCATTGGTGATGGCGTAATTGGAGATTCAGCTAAGCTTACAGTCGTTCCATTCGGCATTATCGCCATTGACGTTTGATAAACTCGTGCTGAACAACCTTTGTATTTTGCCCAGGGATTTGCGAAGCAGTTCTTGCTGCGTCTTGTGATACTGATCAGCCTCATTCTTTTCTTCATTCTTTTCTTCAGTTCTTTTTCGTCATTCTTGGATGGAAACGATGAGGTATTGATTTCGCACAGACAGCTTATAGTTTTTGTCTTGCGTCGTGTCGACCTCAATCACTGTATCGCCTGTTTGAGCTCCCATTCTTCCCTCTCCTTACCCACCTCGCTCCTGTCCTCCCTC